CCAAACGTATCATGTAATGATTAACTCTTTGCTTTACTTTAACCTGGCACAAAACATTGACTCACTGATTTTGTTGCATCAGCTTCCTATAAGCTATAGAATAAAGTAGAAACTTAAGCCCTTTCATGATGAGATCACACTGTGCCTTTCTATCCTTGTACCCTTACTGTGCCTTTTTCGGGGCCGGTGTTCCTACAACCTTTCTAGTGAAGAGACTCAATGACAAATGAGAGTCCAAGATACTCCCAGACTCTACTGGGTTTCACTTTCTACCATTGCTGGAGGCGTGCTATATGTTGGGCTCTCTGTTAGGCATTTTATAGACTTTATCTCATTTGCTCCTTACCATAAACCTGAGAGGTGAAAATTATTACACACTTCTTCCTTAAAATCCCATGTAATTGTTGTAGTCTCTGCCTTAATATAGCGGGGTTTGTTCCTAATAAAAAGAATACTTTTTCACTCTCAAGGCACCAAGTAGAATTGAGGTGCAGGGGGATGCTTATTCCTGGGTCATGCCACTCTCTGGATTCTTTTGACTGAGCACACATTTGTAAGGGAATTGGAACAGAATCACTCCAGGGAGGTTAAGCTGAAATTGCTGTGTAGGAACAGAGGAGAAGGGGATCCTGATTCAATATTTCTGTCGTGTTGCTTAACTCAGCGTTGGGTTGTGGCAATGCCAGAGGTCACGATGGAGGTAGGTCATGGAATAGCACGAAAGGGACAGTCAAATGCAAACCCCATTTCAGCCCCTCCTCTGACATGGCTGCTGTTGTCTGTGTGTGAACAGTGATTTTGTGTCTCTAGACCTTTGCCCCCTTGTCCCTCTACTGAAATGCCCTTTCCACACTTCTCCAAAGGGCCAATCCTTCCTCTCTCCCTAGAAGACCTAGCTCAGAAGCTCGCTGCTCCTCACCCCAAATCCTCCTCTGTTTCTCTCAACTTGAGCCTAACCGCCTATAGTCAGTCCAACAGTGTCCCTCAGAAAGATATGTCTCAGTTCTGACCTGCAGTACCTATAAAGGTGACCTCATTTGGAAATAGGGGCTTTGCAGATGTAATTAAGGTCAGAAGTTAGGTGGGCCCTAAGCCCTAAATCCAATGATGGCGTCCTTATAAGAGACAAAAAAGGAGACACACAGAGGGGCCACGTGAAGACAGGGGCAGAGATTGACACGATGCATCCACAAGCCAAGGAACACCACAGAGGCCAGGAGTCACCAGAATCCAGGAGAAATGCCTGGGACAAATTCTCCCTCAGAGACCCCAAAGGGAAGACCCAACTGCCACCTCAATTTTGGACTTTGAGCTCCCAGAACTGTTTGTAGCGAGTTGTCCCTGCAGCCCCAGGAAACAAAGACACTGCTGTTATCGGAACTCTCTTGCCATCCCATCTGCTTTTGTCTTGACACCCATCAGTTTTGACTCAAGTTTTATTGTTTCACATACATGTCCACCTTCTCCTACAGATAGCAACCCCTTGAGGGCAGCATCCAGTGACTGCCCTGAGCCGCCTCTCCCGGCAATCCCTGCAGAGTGGGCCCAGCGCTCTGGCAGTATTGGCACAGCACCGTGCGAGGGGCCGGAGCACACACAAGGGATCTCCTCAAGTGGCTGCCACCACTCAGAGGAAAGCTTGGCCTCAGAGGCTGCCCAATTCTGGGCAGCCCTGGGGCTTCTTTGTTGCTTCAGGACTTTGGGGTGTCCTCCCCCAGCCCCTCCTGGGCAACTCCAGGCAGATCTGGGGTGGGGGGCTCTTCCTCTGTGCCTCTCTGTGTCCTCATGGCACTGTGACCTCTCACAAGCCTGTCTTCTCCAGCTCTTTACGGTGGAGACTATGCCTTATTTATCTTCAAATGTCCTTAACCGAGTACTGATGACATTTGGCAGGTGGTCAGTGAATATGACTCAGAGCTTATTTTGTCCTGTCTGTTCCCCCTGCCTGCCCAGCCTCTTTCCCGCTGGGGACTGTCCTACTTTGCAGTAGGTATCCTGGGATAGCAGCCCCTGGTTACGGGTTGGTTTGCTCCCCTCATTCATATATTGGGGTCTTAACCCCCAGTACCTTGGACCGGGGCCTTACTTGGAGATAGCATCTCTACAGAAAAACATCAGGTTAAAGTGAAGTCATTAAAGTGGTTCCTAATCCTGTAACACTGGTGTCCTTATAAAAATTTGGGTGTAAAGATGCACAAAGGAAAGAAGATGTGAAGACACAGGGAGAAGAAATCCATTTACAAGCCAAGCAGAGAGGCCTGGAGCAGACCCTTCCCTCAGAACCTCAGAAGGAACCAGCCCTGCCAACACCTTGATCTGGGACTTCTATTCTCCAGAACTGGCAGGCAATGAATTTCTGCTGGTTAAGCCCCTGGTCTGTGGGATTCTGTTCCGGCAGCTCCAGCAACTCATCCCATCTCTTAGTGCTCAAGTCACCCAATGCCTCCCCCAAGCTGGCTCAGTGCTAGGCAGGTTAACTATCTCATTTAATTCTCATGAAAACATGGTGTGTGAAATTCCTTTCATGACAAGAACTACAGTACGCTGGTCGGCTGGCACTGACACTATGAACAGAGTCCATCTGGGTGAACCTGAGAGTAGCTGCACGATTTCACGATACCCTAGTGACCTAAGTAGGAGGAACTAGCCGCAGGGCAGAGCCGCCCCTGGCCGAGGTGAATGCAAATGCCAGAGGAGCTCTTGGTCATCTGATATTGTAGGGGGCAGGACTTCCCACATTAGTAAGAGAAATAATTTTTTGTAATTCAGAGGAAGCTGTTCTAGAAAGAGAAAATCCATTTGTGATAACCAGTTTGAAAGACTTACCACACATAGGACTAGGGCAGAAAGGAAGCGGGTGACTTATTGTATGTCAAGTGCTCAGAACGGCCTTGGCACGTAGTGAGCTGCGTGTGACTGTGGGCCGTGATGATGACGCTGGTGACGATGATTCTAAGGCTACTCTACCAAGGAAGTATGTCATAACACTCATTTTGGCTCCTACCTTGGGCACAATGAGCTGGTCCTATGAAGCTTATGGGACTACAGTTATCTATACAGGGATAAAATATAAACCATTTTTCTAGATTATTGCAACAAGTAAAGGAAGGTGACACAATATCAACCATTTCCTGCCCCAGCCCTAAATCTGTGGCTACAGACCTTGCAGGAGCTCACTTCTTTATCCTGATGCTCAGCGAACATCTTATTAATAGCTCCTACGCGTAACTCCAGACTTCTCAGTTAGAAGTCGGGTCTCTCCGTGCTGCACAGTGAGCCTTCTGTGTGGCTCCTGCTTTTGCAGGTGTGTTTATCTGCTCTAAAACCCTTCTTCACGCTTCACTATTCAGTGGTTTTCCAGAGCAATTTGAAGCACACAGGGAGGTGGTTGGTGCACTCCCCAAATCACCTCTCAGATTGAAATCAGAAACTCTGATTGGCAGTCTAATCTTATCAATCCTTTTGGCAAGAAAGACCATTTTCTCTGGCCTGGATTCTCCCCTTTAGGAAAAAGCAATTAGCAGCCAGCATTTGCATTACACACCTGCTGAGCACCAGGAGTTCTGTGTTAGTCATTTTCAGTTTAGCCTTGTTCCTCAACCCTCAAAACTGGATGTGGCAGCAACCCATTTATTCCTCCTCAAAATTCTGTCCTGCAGCTATAATTACTTCCTTAACAGATGAGGAAGCAGGGGGACCCTGGGAAAATAGTCAGGAAAAGACAAATCCAGGATTCCAATGTAGGTCTTCTTGGTTTCGGATTCTAGGCCATTTCCAAATGCCCATGGAGCTTCTCAGCCTGGGAGTGCCTGAATAAGGGAGACGCTCCAGACCAGAAAGGACGCGGTTGGTAAAGTCCACTGAGAAGGTTCCATATATGAGTTCTTTCCAGAGACATCCCTAATGCCGCAGTCAGAATCTAAGGGTGACCATTAGACTTTCAGTACTGACGTGGGGGCGACACAGCAGCCCTGTTCTTATGCGTCTCTAAATCAGATGCCTCCTGCCAGCCAACCGAGGGACTGGTGAGCTCGGTTGGCAAGAGGAGATGCAGACAACTTCAGAGATATGGCCAGAAAAGAGCTGGAAGATTCTCTTCCACACATATCTTGGGGGCTACTTCGTGCCAGGCAATGGGCCAAGAGCAGGCTATGGCTGGAGGCACCTGGGTCTGCAAGGGACGAGGTCGGAGAGCGCCTACAGCAGTGTGGGGGCCGCTCCGCTCAATGGGGCAGAGGACGTGGAAGACACACCTGTACTCTATTTCCAGTACCTCCTTGTCTACACTGAAGGGACACGTGCTGAACTTTTGGAGGTTTTTGTCCCTTTGACACAGCTGACATAGACAACCATTGCCAAAGCAAAGGAGGATTGGTTATCATAGTGTCGTGTGCATTTCGCCATCCTCACGGTGCTTTCACACACAGAAGGACCCTGCCAGCCGTGAGGGGGTGCTGGAGGCCGGAGAAGCGATAAAGAAACAAACGTCCCCATCTTAACTCTGTCCCCAGTGGGAGCCTACCATTGCTCTGGATCTTCTCAGGAAAGATCCCAAGAGGAGCAACCCCAATCCCTGTGCCAAGCTTCCTGCGGGGTAGACTCACTCACGGGGTTACATGGTTACAAATGTGCTTTAAGGAAAAGAAAAGCCATGCTCTGTGTGATAAACTCTTTTTAGGGAAATGAAACTGTTAGCCTGAGTCCTGGAATCAGTAGTATATTACTAAAATTCAACTATTTCTCTTCCTTTCTTATCTTTGTACACAACCTAATTCTTCAATGTCTTTAAAAGCAAACTAATGTGGATGAAATGCAGGAAGGAATGAAAATGGGATATGACAAAGCCGTCTGCTAACAGTGACGCAGACGCTCCTTGGTCAAGTCCCTAGAAGACACTTTCACATTCTGTTTGCTGTAACAGCCACGAGCCAGTCAAAGGACCAGGGGCTTCCTGAAGAGCTGAGTGTTGTAAACCTGCAATGGAAACAGCTGGCACTCACGGAAACTCGGTGACACAAGGGCTTGAGGCCATCACAAAGAAGAGAGAATTTGCTGGACTGACAATGTCCTCGCCCTGCCCTTCCTCTCTGTCACAGGAGACGAGCTGCACCTCAGACAGGCGCAGCTTTTGTTTGAATCTGTAGCTCTTGGCAGACCTGGAAAAAAGAAAATGAGACTCTGGTTTAGATTTTCTGTTGGACTCTAAGGTATAATGAAAATGCCCCAAGTTAAGCCAGTCACCTTGTGAGATGCCCGAGCAGCCCCACTTCAGAGGCTTGGTCCTTGTGCCTCCTTTTCTATGTCTATTGGTCATTGGCTCAGTCATTCATTCAGTGTCCAGACAGCGTCCAGACACAAAGGAGCTACACTAGCAAACGCAGGGATCTGCAAGCGTGAGACACTCGAGGAAGCAGCAATCGGTGGCCTTGGTTTGACATGGTACACACTGGCATGCAGGACCTCAGATTTCCACCAGGTCCCTAGTCGCGAGGGGAGAAGGGACCTGTGGTGAGATCTGGTGTGGCCTCATTAGCATGGCATCCTCTGTAGAACTGAGAGAGGGCTGTCCCCCTGTCCCCATCATAGGCAATGGCTGAGTCATGGCGCCAAGTGTTCTGATTATAAAAGCAATAGTAATAAAAGATGGCCATTATTTTTTCCATTACTTTTTTTGAAAGCATCAAAAGTCAGCAAAAGGACATTCTACCCCCTACCTCGCGTGTATGAACTTCTTAGCTTTGTTGTAGGTATAAATAAAAAGCATAATCTAACAGATCAAAAGAAAAACATAATGCCAGGCAGACAGTAGGCACTTAATAATGAAAAGAAGAATTTATGAAAGGCTCAGAATTTATCAAGAGCCTTGAAGGATGAATAAAGACTCATTAGTACAAAGGGGCATTGAGACATTCCTTTCTGATGAGGACACACTTGTAAGTTTCCCCTCCAGTCTCAGCGGCCACCACCAAGTACCGTAACATTATTACTGTAAGGCAGGGAAAGATAAAGCTGAACGTGCAGGAAATAGTCACCCTAGAACAGACGCCCTCAAACTATGGCCCGCGGGCCACATGTGGGTGTTTTTGCCTGTTTGTTTTTTTACTTCAAAATAAGATGTGTGCAGTGTGCACAGGAATTTGTTCATAGTTTTTTTTAAACTGTAGTCCGGCCCTCCAACGGTCTGAGGGACAGTGAACTGGCCCCCGGTTTAAAAAGTTTGAGGACCCCTGCCCTAGAAGCAGGACATTTCTTGACTTCTGGACTCTTACCAAGCTCTTTATTCTACGGAGCTCCTAACTTGGATTCAGCTTAAGGATTATGGGCAGAAAGCAACTGTGGCTTTGGCAGGGAGTGAAGAATTGAGTGGGGGGTGGTCCCGATCATCCCCTCATTAGGAGGGGAGGATCGCTTTATCTTGACAAGCAGATCTGAGCTGAATAAGAGGAGGAATGGAACAAATAGTGAGTATAAAAGAAGGGACCCATAAATATCATTTAGCCTTAGCGTGTTTTCAAAACATCACAACCCTCCCAGAAGCACATGGCAACGGTAATACCTAAGAGGGAACTTCGGAGATACCAGGAGGACTTGTAGGGGGTGGGGATGGGGGTGTTGAGGGCAGGGGGAGGGGTAGGGCCAGGTCATCCTGGCAATTCTCTCATTCCCCAAAGATTAGCAAAAGGGATTCTGTTGTCTGCCTAGAAAAGCCCAGTTACTCTGTAGGGCAGGGTGACCTGTCTGTCTGTTTTAAATATATATATATATAAATTATGTAACCACAGTTTTATAGTTGGAATAATAAGCAAGAAATAAGGTTACATTTTGTTTTCCTCTTTCACATCGCCACCAGGGCACCTCAGATCATTCAGGCTGCTGAGATGTAGGGCAAAGGGCAGTGGCATCTCCTAGCGGGGCACTGATGAAGAAGATGCCACACATTTTCTCATGGTTCATGCCACTGTGTAAATTCTTTCTCCTAAAGATGTCTCCTGTACCGTGCAATCACAGGCTGTTCTTTGGAAGTAAATAGAAACCTAAGTCCTTCTTCCAAAACTTATTTTTGTGATAGCTGAAGTACACCAAGGACCCAGACTTTGCTAGAATGACTGTCTCCAGTGTCTTGTCCCTGGCACATTTCTGTTTTCAAGGATAACGCGTTTTGGCACAGCACACCCTTTGTGAATAATGCCTCTATCCCTCACTGCATGTGGCCTGTCCTTTTAAATGTTGAAGAATTTAAAAATATGCTCTTGATGCTCAACAGTTGTTCTCTCTCCTCCCTTCTCCCACTGCCTGCCCCCCCCCCCCACCACCATCCCACTGTGCTTTTGGAAGGTTTGTACCTACCACCTTGTCGAGGGAGCAGCAGCCTGGATGCCTGAGTTATTGCATTTGTCTCTGTTTTTTTGGTTTGTGTTTTTGTGCTGTTTAAATATACAGTGTTATTGATTTGGGGTGATGGTGCAGACTATAAGCTAAATACACAATTTTCCCCTTTTCCACAAACTCAGTAGATAGCAGGACAAAAGAACACTTCAGTCTAGTAAGATGCCATGCTTTTTTGGTTCATGTGAAGGAAAATGAAAATCAAGAAACGATCAATGTTTTCTTTCCTGGGAGATGGGATGGAGTGTTTATCCCCCCTGTAGCCCCCCTCAAATCAGCTCTTGGCTTTTTTTGGACTTTGTTTTTTATCTTCACCAAGACAGAAGATGAAAACATAAGCAGTGAAATTTGATTATAAAGTAGTGACATGAGTGCCAGCGACCACAGGGGAAACTGTCTCCTTGTTCCCTAGCCATACTGCATATGTGGTCAATAAAACTCGGTGTCAGATGGCAGCAACATGATGGGCCACTCCAGGGGAAGTGCAGCACAGGGCCTTCCCCTCAGAGAGGGTGACATGTGACATGTGGCTGGGGAAGTGCATGGTCCCTCTGAAGTGCTGGCATCTTGCCTCACTTGGGGACCGTGATGAAACCACATGGAGTTGACTCAATATGAGGTGCTAGGTTTTCAGCCGCCAGGCAGCGAGGAGCGCCAGGAGGCACGTGTGCACAAGCTCACAGAAAGCACTCTATCACTCTTCTGGGGCATGCTCTTTCACCCCCAGGAATACAGAAGTGCAATGGGGATGTCCTCTCTCTGCAGAGATGTGTGGGGCCAGCTGCTGAGATGATGGTGACAGGTGTCTCAGGAGAGTGCAAGGGCTGGCAGTCCCTCAGACTATGGAACTATTACTTAAAAAGCTGTGTTATTAGCAAGGTTTTACTAGCTCAGGCTGATTAAAAGACTAAGGGGATGCCTCTGGAGCTGGGGAGAAAAATTAATAAAATGAGTTGGATTCAGTTTCCTCAGTGAATGGATGTGATCTTGCTAGTTCACTGGGTTCTATCAAGTAGTGCTGTTTCTCCCTAGCCAGTGTTCGTGGATCAGGAAACTCACTATTACACCTAATGACATACTTCTAGAACTTCTTTGCTTCCACTGTCCTGAATTTGAGTTCTTCTAGGGCATCTTGTCTTGTAAGGGAGGAATGCTTCCACCAGGGGCCGTGGCAGCAGTTCCCTTGCCTGGGAGGTGAGACGTCCACCCAACCATGTGGGGCTCGTCGTGCCTCTGAACTGATGGAGAAGAAGGGGCACCCCACTCACTGGGGTTGACCAAGCAGTCACCAAGAGGAAATCTGGTTGTTGTCACACAACAGGGCAAGGGAGGACTGTCTGGAACCAGGGGATTATCTGGGCTGTCTCTTAGTATTTCCAAATCTAATAATAAAAGTTAAATGAAAACTACAGTAGCAAAAAAATGCAGGATTTTGAGGATTTCAAGCTCTTAGGAATGAAGGTTTGAGTCACTGTATGAAGAACTTCAACATGCTGAAGCCAAAGCTGAAGCTGAAGCTGAGGACAAAGAAGACAGAATAAGTAGTGAAGGAAGATGTTATAAACGTCACCTACACCCTTGTGACCAATTAGAGAAAGGATCATGGAAGCTATGAACATTTTCTCACAGGTTCATATGTGTGTGCATGAGTGTGTGCATATATATTAACATATTCCTTCTTCTCTCTCTTCCTCTTTCTTCCTTTGAACAAGTATTGTTAGAGATTAGCTTATACCTTGGTCTTTAGGTAACACAATATTCAGTTGGGACTGTTACTGAATTTTACAAAGAAAGCTGCCAAGAGAGGGACAGTGAGTGTTTCCCAGAGTCAGCAACAATGACTGATTTCTTTGGCCACTGTTGTCTTTTTGGATCCTCATCTTTCCATTGGGATTCAATTTCCTTCTTGCCAAAGTAGAGGAAAAAAAGTAGTTTTTGTTTTTTCACCAAGACTCTGTGGGCACTCAATGCTGTTAGTCTATGTCAGAAATTCTCTTTATTTAGCTTCTAATTTTGAATACTAATTTAGCTAGAATTTAGATTTCTATGATGATAATTGTTTTTTCCTGAGTCTTTTAAAGATCCTATTCATGGTGTCTGGCATCTATTATTGCTTCTTAGCAATCTATCGTCAGTTTGGTTATTATTCATTTTAGTTTATCTGCTTTGTTTTCCCTTTAAATAGCATTCAGATTTTTCTCTTTATTTTCCATATTCTGCAGTTTTATTACCATGTGTCTAGGTGGTTTTACTTATACTGTCCTAGATTCAGTCTACTTATAAATTTGAAGATTTATGTTTTTCCTCTCTTCTGGAAAAATTTCAGCCATTATCACCTGAATATTGCCCCTTTCTCTTTTATCCTCTGTCCTAGAACTCTGATTAGACACATGTTGGCTTTTCTCATTCTACCCTTTTATCTTTTATGCTTTATATTTTATCTTTCTGAAACTACATTCTAGGTGATTTTCTTAGTTCTCTATTCTAATTCATTATTCTTCTCTTCAACGATTAAACCTACCTATTAAAGGCTTCATTTCCATGCTTTTGGTTTAATTTATATAATTTTTGTTTGAATTTTTTTGGAGAAAGGTTAATAAATTTTCTCCTTCTCCCTCATACTTCCTTATGGTATATATGTCTTTCTTTACCCCCCAATATTTTAAATATATTTAGGATCTTTTCAGATTGTTTTATTATCTTCAGTTCTTGAAGTGAAAATGTTCCCATTTAACTGCCCCTTTTGGTAGTTTGTTTCCCAATGTGATTT